ATTGATAATACCGCTGGATGATATTTTACTTTTACTATTCTCCCTTTTTTGACTGCTACGGTATGTAGATTTCTGAGATTAACTTAACTTCTATGCGGTTCCAACTATATAGCCCTTGGTAAGGCGTCGGTGTTTGGGATGGATGTCTCCATGTAGTGATCAGATAAGCAGCAGCAATGCCGGTTCACTGAGGCTCACAGCTGGCCATGTGGGAAAGCCTGCACTATCACTTAGTTAGGTGGGATTCGACCGAATTCACATGAGCTATATCGTTCTAACGGAACAATATGGGCGATCAGGTCCTGATCCTGAATGCGTTACGTGTGTGATCGGCCTCTTTCACACGTTCATTTCAGGCATTTCATTTTTTCATTTTGACGGCCTCTCTTTCGAGTGAAATGAAAGAGGAATAAAGAAAGACATTACCGCCGTCGTGGTGTGCAATTGTCTGGCGATTCACGAAACTGCAACATTTTGCCGCCTCGCCAAACATCTTCCCTCGTCCGTCCATCGCTTGACTATTTCTACCTCCTGGCTCTTCTCCTTGCATCATACTTGATTACTAGTGGTGTCGGCTCCTCCGAGATTCTGCAATTTTCATCAAACACTTGCTTTTCGTTTTCAGTTTTCTTTAATTCTTTCTATAGTGCTGTTCCCCCACTGATATACCTCCTACTAAGCTTTCGAAGACGCTGAATCTCTCTCATATGACCCAGGTTCCATTCCACGCCGTTAAGAAGCCCAGTAGTTCCCTCTAAGCAAGTCAGGGATACCAATTCTAGCAGCCAAAGTGGGAGATAGGTGAGCATCCACGGCTGGGTGTCCAAGTAACCAGCAGAACACACACTTTGACTCTTCGCAGCTTAGAATACTCGGATGTCATCCATATCGTTTTGAGATCTTCTAAAAGACTTGAAAAAATTGCTTAAGGTTCTCTTGAATGAATTAGCTTCAAATTATACTTGTTAAAGGATTTGCATATGCCGTCAATATGGAGCACCGACCAGTCAAGACATAGCGCTCATTGTTCGAAATGAGTAAAACACAATCAAGTTGTCTATTTCCAAAACGGAATGAATTCCACATAATCCCTGGTATAAGTAAGAGACCACACTGAGTTGTAGTTCCATCTTTATGCCCCTCCTAGCACCATTTCGCGAAAAATTGTAATGAAGAACTTCTCGTCACCTGTTGCAGCACAGCTAACAAAGTTACACAGGAGACTCTTTGTGAAGTTCTAAAAAAGAAAAGGGCTTTGCTCTTGTTAAGAAAAACTCAATTTCAGAGAGAACCATGTTCAACATTTTTCAAAATTTCAGGTGCTTTCTCGATTTTAATTGAAATTGCGTGATTTATAATTGCGAGATTTAGGAAAAAAACTATTAGGAGACCTCCGACATCCTGAGTCTGTGAAGAGAGTAACTGACCCTAGTGCTCTGTCTGAATTGACTCATTTCTTACTTTTACAGTATTCATAGATTTTGATATTTTTCAATGGTGATGGAAGATGAGTGAGACTTTTTTGGAATCGACTGAAGTGGTATGTGTTGCGGCTTGCATTCACAACATTCAGCTGCAGAGATCCCTTTTCTGAGCACGACTTCTGTGAATGCGACAGTATTTGTTCAGCAAAAAAGTGTTACGTGCGAAATCGAGAGCGAGAAAGAATATGCGGCTCGAACGGATCACTCGATCACTGCACGCTTCCATCTTGTGGCACCCAGCCGAAGCTTTCTGTATAGGCCGCTGTTTGATATTCCGAATTGATCTTCTACTGAGCAGATTTAGCTTTGGTCTTTAGTACCACCTTATTGACCAGGAGACTTCAATCTGAACTGACAGCCTTTGGAAGGAGTTCAACATTTCTATATTAGTCTGTTAGTTGCTAATAGTTCCAGAATAGCTACTACATGTTTCTTGATAATATTAGGTTGGAAGATAAGTCCTGCAGCACTCTGAGCATGTCCTCCAGAAAGAATTCAAAACCCCTTCCAAGTGTAAAATTAAGAAAATATAGATATTAGCAAAAATATTACATTACAATATTACAAGATAAATATTAGTAAAACTAACAAATATAAAATTCAGAAACTTGTCAAAAGTTGTGCAAGGCTCATCTTCCAACCTAATAAGTTTGGGTACGTGAGAAAATCATGGCACTTCCAAAAGGAAGGTGAAAAGTAATAACTTACTGTATACGCTTGTTAGTTATTTGAATCCAGTTGAAGATGCTGTAAGTCTCTTGATTTAGTGTAGTTGCTGTAGTAATACTCTTGGCAAATTGATGAATAGTATCCTGATTTTTAACCGAATTATTAGTTTTATTCTTTATTCCTGAGATTACTGAGAGAAAAAGAGTCCGAGAATATTGCAGAGAAAATGGAAAAGGATGGGATGTTTGAGTGAGTTCATAATGCGCTTGAGAACATTAAGAGCGACGGTACGCCGCATTGCAAAAACAGAACCTTGAACTGTTTCATTTCATCCCAAACTGGTAACTTATTGGGGTATGGGGAAAAAGTGATTTGAAGAAAGTTGGCTCTCTGGCCATGTGACCAAGTCGCCAATAGTATTACTCCTTCCCGATTAGAAGGTCACCTCCGATAGAGGAAATCAATTGTGGTAATGAGGTGAGTGGCTCATCCCGTTCTCTCATTCCATCCAATGATTTATGATTTTGATAACGATTGCGTTTTACTCGGAAAACAGCCTCGAGAGGGGGAGGGGGGGGGGGGGGGGGGGGGAGGTTGCCCATGATCAAAGGAGGGTGTTCTCAATGAAAATAAGAAGGGATGTACAATGAGTAGGAACCGTTCATAAGTGCTGATGGATGATTTTTGGTCAACATCGTTTCAGTGGAGGTCAACACTATTCATGAAGGTGCTGGACGACTACTTATAAAGACACGCGTCACCGTATCGTAGTCGACCTCCTTGTGCTATGTGCCTTCTTTAGTGAGCCTCTTGATAGTCGCGCAGAAACGATCTTATTCAAACTATCAATACAATTCGGGCGATCAGTCCACACCCTCCTTATATCGACACTTCAGTTCAGACTCCAGCCTTCTTCAAAAGGTTTAGCGAAGCCACACTAGCGGAGAGCCTTCCCAATAACTCTCTCGGTTTTGTTTTCCTTGAGCTGTTTGAATCTGCTCCCAGTCTGTCACATCTAGCTGGTCATAAGAGATTTTCGAGAGATTTTTGCGCCTTGGAATATCATGTCAATATAATTTCCAAACCATTTGACAATATATGAAATCCGATCCTTTCTTTTTTACTGGCCTCATTCAGATGTGTTCATCAAGGTTTTCGTTACCTTAAATCTCTAACCAATACCCGAAATACAGTAAGTTTGATTTCCGCTCGAGAGACCGTGACTGTAAAGGATCGTTTAAAAATGCCACTCCCTATAAATAAAATCGTATTCTAACACTCAGATTTGTGAAACCTGGCGAGTCGCTTGAATTTTTTCGCCATATAGAAGTAATGACGATCCCATTAGTCCATATAAATGCATGGTAACGATTTCCTTTGCGGTCAGTGAATACAAATCGGGAGAGTGTCGCCGATTGTGAATTATGTCATTCTTGCTCAAAAACCGTAATCAACCACTTCAACGATTATTTACTGAATAAGAGGATCGTGTTGAAGTATTTTTTTCATTTACACATTTTCTTATTGTTTATTTTTTGGACAATTCACTGTTCACTTGAATCGAAAACATCTATACTAAGTACTTGACGACTTGAAGCGATTAATAACAACCTTTGAACATTACAATTCTACCCGAATGGAACACAACGATGAGGAAATGAGTGTAACAGAAATCTTAATATAACCAAATGAATATACTGTAGGGTTGTGGCGCTAATGTGTAGATATTCTGCATTGTATTAGGTGCGCAAAGTATGTGTCGAGAATTCGAAATGGTCTAGATTTCTGGAAGCTTCCATGGGGTTGCTGTGTAAGAACAACACTCATGATACATATATACGGCTACCTCTTCCTTCCTTATTTGATCATTCGATGATCAAACTGTCTTCTAAAACTCGACCTGCACTTTTTTGCAAACATTATTTAACCACCTCGATGCTGAAACCAATTGAAACTGGTGTCAAGCACTTGGAGCCCGTTGCTAGCTATGTTGCGCACACCTCGTTCTAGCCCCTCATAGCCTAAAATAAAAAGGTCGAAGATTAACCCCGATCCAGTCAACCGACTGCGATAATATGAAATCACCCGGTGTGCCATGCGCACACAATTAAGTAGTGTCTATTATAGTATTTCTATGAAAGCTTCCAAAAAATCCTGATAGAAATCTGGACGATAGCCAAATTTTGGTAACTTGCCGGGGACAACCTAATAATATCGTATCAAGATTTGATCAATCTTTCCGTCTTGATTTTCTGCAAATTAATTAAGTTTGTTGATTCCCTTTTATAACACATTTTGCGTCATCGTTACTCTCCTACGAATGGTTTGAATTGAAAGTAGAACAATCGGTTTTGAGAGATCGTCAGATCAGTTATTTTTTCTTCCTTCCGCCATGTTTATTTCTTACTCTATCAAGCAATGATATTTGGCTGTAGGATCGCTTAGCTACGTCCTTTTCGTCAACTCAATCTCTGTGACCTCAACTTTCGAAGGAAATGGCGGTAACCCGCAACCTGCTATACATTTTTGCTCCCCTTTGAGCAAAGGCTCGCCTAAGCACTTTGTCCCAATCTCTGTATTGCCAGGTAAACCATGCAGTTCTCACAGTTGCAAGAACACTTTTCTACTAATCAAAAGAGAACATATTAGTCGTAGATAAGAGGCATATCAATACATATAAGTGAGGCCTACAATGCTAGAGTTACAAATTATTAGGACACCTTCCCGTTCGATTAATCAGCTCATTTTTTCCATGAACTTCTTTGCCTCTTTTCAAGCGGCGTCTCTGCATTGTAAAGGACCATCCCACCTCATTCGTAAAACATCATTTTCAGGACTAATGAGATTATGAACTTCTATTTCAATAGTATTACGCTACTCTTTTGTGCTACTTCAATTGTTGATGTACGAAGCGATGACGAAAAGTATCTTATCGACTTCATTTACAGATTTGTCTTCGCTAACGAGGCATTATGTGGGTTCCTCTAATTTTTGTCAGTATTACTTGTAAAAAACACAAAATAATCAATGATTAAGTTTGAGGAAGTTTGCGATGTTCTAAATATTTGTCTTATGATGCATTTCGAATCTCGTTCTTTTGTTGTTCGAGCCATATTGGCCCTCTTAAGGTGGTGATCCATTTGCTGAGCCTCAATGGCTACCAGCTGCGAGTAAATGCTTTGTGAACTGCGATCCCACCTCTTATTTGTGTATAGCTCATACGGAGTCGAATATCCAGAGATGTAAATCATGTGAGTACTTTTTATTTTACCCTAAATGACTAGCTACTGATTGTCCCATGCTTGATTCGACGCTAGCCCCCATAAGCTCACTGAAAAATGACTATAAAAAGAAAATATCCGTCCAAAATACGAAATAGGTAACTAGCCTAGTTGTCATATTCGTTTTATCGGCCTATTCAATATATCGGGTTGTCTTTCGTCGTTGAATGAAAACTGGAAGCAAATCACTATTGACTGTTTCTATCGGTTTTACCTTTTCGAAGTGATTCAAACAGATGTTGTCTATTGAAAATCCCATTTAGACCCGAAAGCATGTCAGGCGGCGATTCGAAAACATCTTGGATGGACGACAACGGTCATCAGTGTGTTTCGACCTCCGATCACCACCACATCTATTCCCCATATGGATGTTCAAACCCAGAATCTCAGCAGGGTTTTTCGAGATGAGGAAATGGTTTCGCATGCGGACTCTATGAACGTTGATCGGTCGGCCGTTGAAGCGGCTGAAAATATCGAAAGAGATCTTATGGGCTTCGACGCTACCACATCACCATCACCACCATCAAACGACCTCAGGTGGGTTTTATTAGTAATAATTCTAATAATGGTGACTGGTTGCTTAGTGGTTTTATTGACTAACCTTTGTGTGAATCCTATTTGCTGCAACCTGTAGTTCCGAAGGAAAGAAAGGATAAGTATGAGATGCATACTTCTAATGGAGGAGCAGCAGCTTCGGCTTTAGAAAGAAGTCCGATCAGAAAAACGGCTGCACAAGAAATTCGTGGGAGCAAGCCATCCTCAAAGCGCCATTTTGCGCCGTCTGCGAACATTTTGAAACAGACTGTAGTAAATGATTAAATGTAATAAACACCGACCATAAATAAATACCCATGTATACCGAAAATATACCATAATATGATAAATATATCGATCTATCAGTAGCACTACTTTTTTTCAGACCGAATGAAGCCTCGATGGTCGTTGAGGTGATCACTTCACCTCCGAGTGGCGAGTACAGTTGGTTAGAAGCACCACGAGTGGAGGGGAATGGCTACTCGTTTGAGGGCACTCCAGGTTTCAATACCGATCCATTGCGTGAACAATCAAGAGGTATTGGGTTTTTCTTCCTTCATTGCAACTAGCTTTATAGGCGAGCATTAAGTAGCTTCGAAATTACTTCAGATTCAACTGACTTGGCTCCCGAATACGAAAGATTGGAAGAAAACCCTGTGGGGTAAGGTTTTTCGCTGTTTTGTAAAGACATCAGAAAATATCCTATAATAACTGGAGAGGAAAAAAGGATCGACTGGTAGGAGTTTAGCGGCCCCTTTAGGGTACGCCATGCATCTGACTGCAAAGGGGATCATTTTACATTTCTTAACGTGTACTACATCCGTAATAATTAGAAGAGAAAGCTGCACTGCTTGATGCTTTTGTTATCTCGAAGGAGCTTGACATCAGAGTTATGCGATATTGATTCTAAGACGCAGCTTAAAAATCGTAGATGCGGTAGCTGTAACATTTGTTATGGCCACTCAATTGCTTCTAACTGAAGTGGTTCTATTCTATTAACTGCATGCTTTTCGAGGTTTCGAATCCGGCCAATTTGATGTTGACAACCATTGAAATTTTTGCCAAGCATTTGGCCATGGAGCCCTTTCTGACGGTTCTGTGCTAACCACGTTCCAACGCTCCACACCCTCATACGAAAAGGTGACCAATAGACTTCAAACTGGTCAATCGAGTGGGATGTCATGAAAACTCCCAATATGTATGCGTGTACAAGTGTATCGTTTTGAAGCGTTTCGTTGGAGCTTCTAGAAAATCCCAGGAGTCATCTGGATTATTGTGAACCCCAGATACTTGTTGTTCGGAAAGTAGATGGGGACAAGTTCACAACAATCCAGATTATAACCCATTACACCCTAAGTAGAAGCTAGGTACACTGGTTGGTCAGCAATTCGAGAACCACAGAGAGAGTAGAATAAATTTTCTTTTACTTGTTACTTCGTTGACGAAGAAGTAACTGATGACTTTCCAGGAGAACACTGAGCAACTCCATGATTCCGCAATATGGGCGCAGTCAAATGAAACAGTACGAGTATGCTCTTCCACAGCCACCAGCTCCAGAACCATCACCACCGGCATTTTTCCCATTTCATCTCCCAGCATCCTCTATGAAGCCTGACATTGCTCTTCCACAACCAGAAAAAGAACTGGTGCCGAAGTACATTAATTTCCTGGAAGCTCCTGAAGATCTAACCAATGACGTTGATTTGGAGCCACGTAGGCCTAGAGAACCGCAGCCACCCAGTTCCCAGCCGCTTCTGAATAACGACTATTCTTCGGAAGTAGACAATGCTGCGTTGCAGAAGACAGAACGATTGATTTACGATCCTCTCGTGCAAACAACTACACCATCGTGGTATATTCCACCTCAACGACCCTATCAGAATATGCTAATAGTCCCTTCTGACACAGAAGTATCACTGCCAGAAGGGTCAGCTATAAGAGGAGCAGTACACGATATGAGGTTCCAGGCTGGAGCAGCTCGATTTGAGGTGAGATGTGCTTTTGGTACCATCGCATGTGTGGGGTTACAACAATTCACGCTGATTCGGTTTTTGCAAGCGCATGCATGACGGCTTTGTTTTGAAGTTCTGAGGATTTCCGAAAATAGCACTTCGACTTTTTGTGAAATCATATCACTTTTCGAGAATTTCAGGTTATCCCACCTCCCGCACCACTGGCTTCCGCGTTTTCTGTGGGAATGGCCAAAGGGGATTCAAATATGGATCCCCAACGTTACAATCATCATTATCCCAATCGTATTTCCAGAAGTAAAGTGTTCGCTGAAATGCCACCAGGTAACTACTCTCTGTGGCTATTAATAATGCAGTAATAGTCTAAAAACATTTCCAATGATGTTGATCATCGTTGCGCTGTAATCGGCGCTCACCAAGTTCAGTAACGATTACTTTGCACCTTTCGTCCTTTTCGAAGCTTCAACGTTTTTAAAATTATTTCTGCTTCAAGATTTTAATTCAAGAGATGCGTGCAATTTAGAAGATAGGTTGAAAAGTAATCTTACTTCCAGACAAAGCCCGTGATCTTAGTCAACGATGTTGTGAATGGTCCTTAAGTGGCTTTTGTGATCGCAATTGGCGGCGAGTACGAAAGTTATGTCCAAAAAGTTGTGGCTCATTGGTGTGCGATGGTAAGGAGATTGGAGTGGGCAACTGAAAACGGTCATTATTTTTAACATTTATTGACATTTCTTTTCAGAAATTGATGGAATTAAATCTTGTACGCGAATTGTAGACGTAGATATCGAAGAATGCTTTCAGTCGTCTCGTATAAGCAGGTAAATATTTTCAAAAACAACGTTATCAATTGAAATTATTTCAGAAGTACAAGTAGTGTTATAGTACCTTTTCCTCCACCTACCTTAAAACTGACATAAACTGTCCCTCATGGTTTGAATCCCTCTGGAGTTGCGTCATGTGCTCGTCCTCCATTCAAAATCTCACTGGAAATTGAATGCGAATTACGACTCAAGCAGCTAAGTGTAGAAATTTGCAAATGGGCGGTTATTTATCAATCAATCGCCTGCTAAGGAGGGAGTATTGATGATGCCGTTGACCAGGGAGCAACTCGATAGACGATCGTGGGTCAAACTGCGGTGGCCCCTTCAGTCACCAATGCTCCATTTTTTTTTAATTATGTTAAATTTACAACGTTATACAGTAGCGCTCAAAAGTCTTCGGTGAAATGCTTCAACGCTTTTCCGTTCGTAACTTTTTTGTTAGTAAACCAAATCGCGCCGAATTTGGATATGTTTGACTAGAGCATATTTCACCCTACCCAACATTATTTGACCGCGAAGCTGCAATGTCCATAGATAAAGCAAGGTGTTTGTTGCGGTAGCAGATTTTGCTGAAACTGAAGTTGTTGACGTCTGCACTTATTCGCACCGTACATGCGTTTTTCTCATCTATTGTGTTCGGCATTACTGCTCGTACACTTCAGACATGACAGAAAGGAAAGAGATTTTAGAAGGACAATCATCTGTATTTTCGGTCGATTTTGAATTCATGCTCTTTGGAATATCTGGAACATAATCAGGTTGCAGGTTAATAGTGGTAATTATTCACAATACACCCACGCTCCAAATATAGAAATTTCACAGGATTAGATCCAGTAGGGAGGGAGTTACGATTGAGAAGTACGGCTGATGAACCATTTTACCGAAGACTTTTGAGCGCTACTGTAGTATCGAGTGTCGCGCTATTACGCATAATCCGGGTTGGGATCCCAGATTAATATCCGCCTACATCTTTCGGACCTTTCTGGAGCTCCGAACTTATACCAGACTCCTCTAAAAAGATCAAGGCACCGGTCTGTACATCGAATCGAGCTACACCAACTTGTAGAACCAGCTACCAGCTTTGTATAGGACTTTGCGTATTTCGAAATCGAAGTGCATCCAATTCACAAATGATCTAGCAGTTTCACTATTTAGGGTTTATATGCTGTAGTGTGACCCTTCATTTAAGGTATTTTGGTTTGAGAAATGCTGAGACTGAAGAAGAAAAACGAAGTATCATTGACAGCATCGTGATGCACAAGCTCAAACGTAAGGGTCATCAACGACGTGTCATATTCAAGCAGCGCCGCTGAATGATCTTCAGAGCTATCGCATAATTTCTTTACTTATTTATTCAACTATTTATTCAGAGTTGTTGTGTTGTTTTGAAGTATAATGACCCAAGCAAATGACCGCCCGCCGATAGCAATTGTTTTGGTAGTACGTAATCATAGCGTGTGGGATGATTTGAATGAATTCATTATTGATGTCATGCCTTTTATAGGTAAAAATCCTTTTCTTGTATTTACAGTGTAATAGTCGTTCCGTGCAATAACTACCCAATAACTTTCATAAAAGGTTGTAATATGATGACAATGATGTAGTCGCCATTTTGTGCATGTCCTCTTGCCTTTCACTGGTTGCTTTGTTCTTCAAATCCGTTTCTGACGTGATCCCCAGAGCTTTTTCCTCCCTTTTATTCTTCTGTTTATTAAGAGCTTTAAGCGTTTACGCTCCAATTTTGAAATTTACCAGATTTTATAACAAAAACCAATCCCATTGTGTCAGCCCATACAATATTGATTTTGTGAACTGATTTTAATATTTTTGGTTTGGTTTGTCTGTCTATCTGTATATTCTGACATATCTGAAGTTAAGTAAACTTATTCGTATAGATTCGATGGTCTATGTTTTGGCCGCTCGAGGTCATTGCTCATATTTAGGTCCGGATCCGGTTGGCCTAGGTTCTCCCCGCCCTAGGGCGCTAATAAAGTGGGATCGACACTCGTTTCGCTGTTATGGAACCGGTCCATTTCCGAGTGTGCCGTATCGCTTTTGCAGCCCAACTGCCCTTCAACGTTCTTCATGAACATTAACTATATTTCGGAAAGACTAGAACCACCCGTATTACTTGCCATTTGAAATTCCTTTTTCCAACCTCCATAAAATGGCATATTTTGTCTATACTCTTAGACTGCAGAAAAATGCGCCTTGCTTTCCATTTAGTGAAGTGAAGTAGTATAAGTATGCAAAAAGTCCCCTAACTTATTACTCATTCAGGCCCAAGTCATTTGTGAAGGAACGAGGGATTTGACTACAAAACTTTGCATGCATCAACAGAATTCAGCCTCCTTTTACGATGACATAGTATGGCAGTAGGCTGATATTTTTGTAAAGTGAATTTGTCGAAAAAATGCCATAGCCAACCATCGAAAAAGGGCAAAAAGGGCATTTGGTACCAGCTGATGAAATGGTAACCAATAAAAGTCACATCTATCAGCGTCTTGGTTAATGGTTGTGCCAAGCTGTTATTCGTAATCTCTTCCGGAAGAGTTCCCTATGAAATGCCACTTGGAAGTCATCACTTCGACCCTCATAGTCATACAGTCTCGTAACAGTGAAATGTTATGTATCCAGTTCTCATGCTAAATGAGAGATTAGTATCTTGTTTGATGGTTATATCACTTATACAGAATGGATTCATCGCTTTATGTACAAAAGTGGTAGACGGTGGTTGACTGAAGCACTTGGCTACTGGCGAGCACTGATGAATGATGCTGTGGAGGATGATTTTGCAGTTTCAGAAGCCAAACCTATCACTTCATCATTTTTTTATCAATTTATAATTTTTCTAAATAACATGCGCTAGAGTGAACAACAATACAGCTCAATGGAAAGGTGTTTTAAAAAGTTAAATTCAAAAACTTCTGTGCAGTAGAAAACAGAGTTTTCTCAAAATGTGTTGACTTGTTGTGTCGTGTTGTGTGTTCTTGTTGTGTTGTTGTGTTGTGTTTCGCCTAATTTTTCTCCAAAATAAGTTGGTATTACATCGAATAGATCGCTGATTTCGTAACTTTTGAGTGTCACTATAATTCGTGAAATCCTGCAGATGATTGCAAATCAACTGCTTTACACTTCAGTGAAAATTGGAATTATGGTCGGTCACGCTTACTGTGTAACCATAGGTTTTCAAGCATCAGCAGTAATTATTCTCGATAATGTGATGCACGACCACCTCGTCGTTTGTCAATATGATTCGAGAGCCTGATGCTGCTCGAGATTCTGCCTTTGCTTCCCACAGTACTAACAGACCCCTTGGTAAGGGTTATAATGTAGTGATAACGTCCTTCTGTTCACTTCTGGATCTTACGACTCGACGAATCTGTGAAAGCTCAAAACTTTTTTTTGCCAGATACAGGACATCTTTGCTGACTGCTTCTTTTGCTGCCATCCAAAAGGCCTCTTCCTTCTTCCCTCCATTATGAACGATCTGGTGGACCTTTAGCTTTACCCAAAATACCTATACTATTTTCAACAGGCTATTAAACTTTTGTGTAAACTTTTTATTTCAATATTTGAAGCTTATTATTTTTATGTAGGCTGCCCGTACAGTGGAATAGTATAGGAATCGAATTCGTTTACGGAGAGTTATTTTTCAAATCAGTGCTTACAGAAAGGAAACCAAATTGGCAAAACGACCATTTTATCGAGTTTTTGGTGGGCAGTAGACTACTGAATTTGGCTACCAACTCCTTAAGAAATTTGGAATGATAAAGGAGAGGGATGTTGGAGTTTCCATTGACAGAATGATATGTTAGACGACAATGATTTCTTTTCATTCTTCTCTTGAGCAGGCAATTTTTGCTGACTTTCGACCAAATTTACTCCGAATTAGGTCGACAGGGGAAGTCATAACATCCGAATGAGGGTTCACACTTAATCGTTACCCCGCTTTGGTGGGAAGTTCATTGTATCAGTATATAGGCAGCAGCTGAATCTATGAATCCCACAGCCAATGCTCGTATAAGCGGATAAAAGACTATTGGTGAGCCTGTTATTTACAGTGGGAATCAGCTGATCGATTCCCTTGATGGAATCCCTCAGCACGTATACCACGCAATGAGAAAAACTAGAAAATCTCTTTTGATGCAAAGAAGCGACATTGTATCGGGAGAGAGAAGTAGTTCCTTTTTGGTGGTCTTCTTTAGGAGAACAAGTGAGTTTTTTGCTGGAGACATCTCTGTCGTTAACTTCTTGCAAACTCAACTACCTTTAAAAAAAATCAGCCATCGTTAGGTCATAAACCAATTCCAAAAACTACACATAACTCATTCGCTAGCTTTATGGCACGACGTGACCACACTGGTGAGGTTTTTCTTTACTCTGGTTGACAACTGTTCAGGTCACAGGATGACTCGTCAACAATTGTTTTAGCTCGGTTTATCCTTCTTCACTGTTGCTTTCAATTATTTCCATGAACTGCCTGGCTGCAGTTTTGCCCTCGCTTTGTCCATCAGCCTTCTCACCATCTTCACTTATTTTTTTATTCTCATTTCGTTACTTTTTACTTTCCATCGCCTTACTTCATACACTTTTTTTATTTCTATCTTTATCATTATCTCTTTATTTATTAATTCCGATTTTCAACTGCTAGCACCTCAATATTTTCTGTTTTCCCGCTTCCATATGTCACCGGCCATCGCATTAACGACACAGCTTTCTCCATTTCACATACATACTTTCCTGAATTCCGCTAGGAAACCTTATAACTGAACTGGATTGAATCAACTTCGAATCTGTTTTATGTTGTTGTTTATTTTCGTATGTTCCCTTCCCTTGAACATTAGTTCACGAACATATGCTCTGTGATTAGCATGTTTTTTTTTCAAGAAGCATGTATTTTAAGTTTGTGGGTGGACGTTCTTCGCACTGCTGATGTAAGCTTACAGCCTGAAAATCTGATGAATTCATAAACTTCAAATCGAACTTCCATTAGTCAAAAAATGCCTAATGCCTTCATACAAGCTACATCTGTCCTGAATTTTAAACTAAACGAAGTGAAGATGACGTTTTCTTCCTCTGTCAAACATAATGAGGATGAATTTGAAAACTTTAAAGAGACTAGCTTTTTATGGGCATAGATAATCATTCTTTTTTCCTTGAACAACGTCACAGTCGAGTTAGTGGCGGTGCTGCGATGAGGCGATGTCAGGTGTGGCTGTTCTAATCGAAACTGGTATTATTTTTTTGCTAAGAAAAATAGTAGAAATATGAAAACGTGTTTTGATGGGCCGGCACTGATTGCTCCAAAGTCAAAACCTGCAAATTCCCTCACATATGTGTCTTCGGGTACCCGTGATAGCCTTGCAAACAAGGAATTTGTGTAGACCGGTGGCCAGATCGTTTTTCAGGGGAGGTCAAGGGTCGCTATGCTCGGAGATTGGAAGCCTAAGTTTCATTCCTCTCCAACTTGGCAGATTTTTGTCATAGCTCAAAAAAGTATGTTTATAGATTGAATCGAACCGAGGCAAGCGTGTTCTTAACTCTTTCGGAGTACTCCAGCAGTTTCGAGGTTTTTTTATGCTTTCTTGGCATCCTCTGAGGTGTAAAAATTGATGAAAAAGCTGTTAGTACATGTACAAAAAAAAGGCTGAAAAGGCGAGACCGAAGAGATGAATCAGAACTGGTACAGCTGACTAGTGAGTGCCCTTTCTTCGATGTACTTTGTTTTTTTTAGCACATTATTAGCAGTGTATTTTTTTGGAAACACATTAACGAAGAATGAGAGTTCACATAAACGTAAGACACAGGCCGATCAACTCGTGGATGGCAGTGGTTTTTGAAAAAAAAAACCTCGACTGAGTAGTATGTTGGATATGGGTTCACCCCATTACTCCTTGGGTGACTTTTTCATCACTCTTAAAACCAAAAGCATCTGGATTGAATTAGTCTTGTACTTGACTTCCATCCCCAAGCCAGCTAACGGTACTAAAATACCAGCAGAGTGAAACCTGTATACCGCTCCAAAGATACCCATCTCTCTTCAAACTTTCCCTCTCCAACTCACTTCTTTTTTGACGTGTAATAAATTTCTGAGCATGTTAGAGATTTCTCTATATAAATGTGCCCAGCAAGATGCATTCATCACTCTCTGTGCATTACAGGGTAACCGGTTTCAATGAGCTGTTTTCTAAGATTAGTTAGTTACACTGCAAAGTTTACAGCGCTCACTTTATGAGAAATGGCCAGTAATGAAGGATTTCAGGTTGAACAAAACCAGTAGCGAGTGGGAGAAGTGCGTGAGGAGCAGTGG